CCAACAGGCCCAGCTTTTGAAAGAAATGGCGGAATTTCTTGCAGCCTGACTAGTTCAGCTTCGAGCCTCCCTTGCGCTCATCATGGGCAATTGTAGCATTGAAGTCGCCAGCAAGAAGCCACGCAGCATTTTCATCCCGTTCCAAATTAATGAGGTCCGCTCATAAGGTTTCTTGCATATAGGGAGTGGGACTTGCATAGACCGCCGTGAAAAGAGCTCCTGTGCTGTTAGAGATTGAAGTGTGTATAAATTGTTGATGATTAACAAGAACACTAACCAGAACATTTGTTGACCAAATAAGCCAGATACCTCCAGAGAAGCCAGAAGCCTCCACTCTATGAGAATACGGGTAGCCAAGCTTCTTAATTACTTTATTTGCTCTAATTCCAGAAATTCTAGGCTCCGCAAGAACAATGATTTCTGGTCTGTAACCCTATAGAAGGGATTTCAACATCCTATGGAAGCTATTAGATGCTGCCCCTTGGCAGTTCCACACGAAGATTGATTTATTCATGGGGTAATAAAGTTCAAGTGTCTCTCTCGGAAGGCTCCGAGCCCGTATCGTTATCCATACCAAACTCCATTGCTTCCACAAAAGTCGTTTCTTCATCAAAGGAAACTGTCTCTCCAAGTGCTTTTGCTAGAGCTTTGGCAATTTCCTGTGATGGTGTCCCATCTCATCCATTCCTTTGGGCCGAGTGGTCCTAATTTTGACATTTGGTTGGATTTTGAATCCTCCTCTTTGTGGGCTTCAATTCAAAGGCTTTGGGAGTAGGTTCTCCTTTCCATCCCGCTTCATGGGCTTAGCTTTTGGCCCAAGTGTTGTCTTGTTAGCTCCCTTAACCAGGTTAAGCGCTTTCCTCATTTCAGTGATAGTGACAGCCGTATGTTTAGTTAGATCTAGGGTTGTTGGGGCTCGTGCTTCCTTATATGCTCGAGTATTAAACAAAGAGTCTACCAGGGGTGTGCTTGTTGTCGATTTCTCTGGGTTTGAATTCTTGACTTGTTTCACTCCTTTAGTAGCCGTAGACTTCAGAGGGGGATCCTTCTTTCTGTACCTGCTACTCTGACCATCGGGAAAGCCTGGCACCTTTTCCATTTGATCATCCTCCGGTTTTTTCCCTTCACTGTGTTCCTCTGACATCTCGAGAGTAGCTAGGATATTGAACCTGTTCTTGTCAGTTTCACTAGATTGGGCACTGTTCTCTGGAGTATGCCGTGTGTCTGCCCTTTCCAGCCTCGGGTTGGTGCTTTCATCCAAGCACCGAAAAGTTTGTCTTCACGCGCTTGGTTCACACATGTTTGCTCACTTGCTTCTTGCATCTGAATTTTCACTTTCTCTACTACATTTTCCGGCATGGTCCTCTACTCAGTAGGGGGCGTAGAAACCAGGTTGGGACCTTGCAACTTTATCGGGCATGTGGCTTCCAAGTGACCATATTTGCCACAATGGTAGCATATTGTAGGCAGCCCTTCATACTCTACGTATTGGGTGATCCCGTCGAGTTTCAACTTTGAGATTAATGGTTTGGTAAGGTCAAGTTTCACTACTAATCTTGCAAACCTGGCCTTGTCAACCCCTTCTGTGTTATAGTCTATTTTCAAGACCTGACCAATCACATTTCCAATTGCTCTCAACATGCTTTTATGGTAGTAATGGTATGGTAGCCCCGGCAGTCGTACCCAACCGAAGACCTGCTTTATTTCAAGGCTGGAAGGAGATAGCGAGGGTTCCCAAGGGTGTACCATTAGATATTGTCCTAGCACCCCCCAAGGGCCGCCCAGCATAGCTTTCTGATAGTCATAAGCATTTTCAAATTTAACCATGAAGTGGTCTTCTTCAAGCTCAGTCAGTTTAAACTTACTAGTCGCATTACACATGCTAGTGATCTTCCCAAGTAGAGTTTCTTGGCATATGTATCGTCCCAAAAGTTTAACAACAACTGCGTATTGCATGCATTGGTACATGTACTCTTGGATCCGTTGTGAGAATGTGATAGAAGGAATAAGGTTGTCCAATGCTACAACCACATCATCTTGTTCAATCAATATGTCTTCTCCGCTAGTAGCACCCTTCTTCTGGGTCACTGTATCATGTCCTAGGAGTTTTTCTTTGAATGTGGGCGCGACAAGGTGCTCTTCTGCTGCTGTTGTTGCCTCCATGGCTTCATTTTCTGGCCGTGAGATGCATTGCTCTGGCTGGGTATCTAACCCATTTCCATTTCCTTCGACGAAAAGTTGTCTCTGTATTCTGAGCCTGTCACTGGTTGTCTTTTCACGGTCCACAATGTCCTCTGTGTCCATACTAGCCACTTCTTCTCCATTGTCTTTCACCGTTACTTTCTTTGCTGTTCTTTCTTCTTCAGCTAGGGGGGAACGGCCTCCCTTTTCCACGAGTCCTATTCCCATTGTTTCCTCCATTTTCCTGTCATGTGTGATGTCACTCTCTGTCCTCCGCTACAGTGGGCAGCAGAGTCCTCACTCGCTCTTCCCCTTCGCCGCCTAGTAGCGGCAGAAATGTGATGGCGCAGTCTCTAAGAGAGAGCCTCTCACTCTAACGTCTCTCACCCAAACCTTTTTTTTTTTGTCACAGAAGCATCTTTTGGGTTGAAAGAATCTAACTAGATTTTCAAAGACAACTGCTGGTTTCCGGCCACTTGTCACGAAGCGGATGGGTGACCTTCTGTTTTTTGTTTTTTTTACATGCTAAAGTTGCTGAAATGTACTTGAGGGTTTCGTTGATCTGCTACTTTTGGTCTTAACAGATATACTAACGCATTTTTTATTTTAAAAAATCATTGGAAAAATTTGGCAACAGATTTAGGAAAATTTAGTTCTACTCGTGTATCCAGAACCGTGATAGTTATCAATCCTTACATTCTAAGTTGTCAACCACTACTCTTTCAATTGTCAATACAAATTAAAAAAAAAACAGAATGGTAATTTGGTAATTAAATAAATAAAATTTATTGTAAAAGGTCCTTTAAGACTTCAGAATAATTTCATGATTTTAAAGGATTTTTTTGCATTTAATTCTCTTAGATGGGACTTAATTACAATTCTCCTTTTAATTTTTATAACGAGACTATGCATCAAAGCTAATCAAATATTTTTTAAGAAAAACATGTTATTATAAGCTTACAATAAATATTATGTGCGACTTTTAAAACACGAATATATTGTGCTATATATAACAATTTTTCTCCTTTTTTTAAAAAAAGGAAAACAATGTATATCAAAGAAACGACGTATATATATTTTTTGGATGTAATAATTAATATGCTATTTGCTCCAACTAAACCAAATAAAAAAAGAATTAAAATCGCCCCCCTTTCCCTGAGCACGCACAACGCCTTTCTTTCTCTATTCCACTCCCATTGTCTATACGTCTGTCTTTCTAATAGCTGTACTTTGTTTATCTCTTCCGCACCTCCACGCCCTTCTTCGGACCCACGGCCCCCTTCAGTCTCACCGCACGCGCGCACAAAAAAAAAGAAGGATTTGGAGCAATCAGCTGCCCGTCCATTTACATTTTATACTTAATCTCTCCGAACATATATATTTTTTTAATTTTTAATATAAGACCTAATTATTAAATTAGTTTTGGTCTTAATTATAAGATTTATTTTTTATATTTATTAATTTTCTCTAAATTATTTTTATGGATATTCTTTCAATCACAATCAAATAGGAGAGGAAGAGAGAGTATTAATAAAGATGATTATGGTATTTTAGAAAAAATGTGTCACATTTCTTACAATTAAGTAACTTACCTAATTTTCTTCATTTAATCAAATTAATTAAATAAGTCTTATATTAAAGATCGGAAGAATAGTATGGAATGGTTGGTAAATGCTGACGGTTAAAAAAAAAAAGGCTGGTAAAGTAGTAAGAGATGGGAAAACAAGTATCAGAATTGAGAGTAAGGTTGTCAAACTCGCGAATTTAAACAAACTCGTGATGATGATATAAACTCGGATCGTAAACTCAAACTGTGAACTCGTAAGAGTATACTTTTATTAATAAACTGATATTAAAAGTATATAATCAAATAATTAATATATATAAGAAATAATAACAATTTCATTTAAATATATTTTAAATTTAAATAATTGAAATTATATCCATCAATATTTATAATTTATCATATTCAAAAAAAAATTTCTATAAAATTCATATATAAAGTCACTAAATATAATCAAATCCAAAAATTTATCACGAGGTTAAGAACGAGTTGACACGATTTTGTAAGCTAAAAAACGTAAAAACAATGAACTCGATAAATAAACTTGTAAGTTTAACCGAGTTTACAGTTATTACGAGTTTAAAAACGAGTTGATACGATTTTGTTAACTGAAAACATAAAAACGTTAAACTCGGAGAATCAACTTGCGAGTTTTACAACAGTAATTGAGAGCTTGTTGTTTTTACAAGTGATGCCAAATCTCCAGGACCCTATGTAATAATTCTCCCTTCATTTTACGATTAAATTGAGTAAATAAATATCACACACTCTCTCTTTAATTGCAAGCCCCCTCCCGTGATTTGTGTCCAATTCATCAGAAGTTACATCTCTTCCACGACTCGTGGGCCATTTTTACTTCCAAACAAAATAATATAACTATAGATCCCCCGTGTGCCATGTTCAGCTTTCCCCTAATAGATCCCTTGATGGCATGGATTCAATTGGACAAAGAAGATACTGAAAAGCATAAATAGCAGAAAAGAGTCCAAAAGGCAAAAAGGTCAATATATGATTGAAACAAAGCAGGTGTTTGCATTTATTGATGGAATCATATCCTCGTATGCACCTTGGGCTACCTCTGATATAGCTACCTCAACCTTTCTGACATTTTCCCCTGATAAAGTTTAGCTTATATCGGAGTACAACACACTCATTAAAAACTGACGAAACAAGGTCAATCCACAAAACCCCGACTCTTTCTGGAAACTAACGACACAAATTCAATCGAACCCAACCAACGACCTTATCGTATGGATCAAACCTGGAAGATCCGGGCAGTAAAAGTTTGACTGAATTGCCAGTGCACGATGGTCCAAGAGGTGGACGTACGTCCTTCGCCGTCACTGCCCGTGACCGTAAACGACCATGACCGTCCCCACCAATACTGCGTTTGAGTGCCAGTTTTGATCTCTGCTTCAGCTGAGGGTGGCTGGCCGCTGACGTCTTTCGCAAGAGCATAGCGGAAGTTAGTGGCCGTGAAGAAGATGGATAGGCTCCCAGAGTGACACCGTTGAGGGTCTTTTGCGCACTTTATCTCCACGCATGCTCCGCAGCGCAGCTCAAAGTTGAATGTCGCGGTGCTCAGGGCCGCCGTGCTAGAGCCGTACCCTTGGCTGTAGACGTTACCGTGTCCACAAGCTCCCCCTGCGCAACATCCACAACCTCTGGTGATTAAGCAGAAATGAAAGGGACGTTAACCAAAAAAAGAAAGCGTCGATGAAAGAGGAGATGCAAACCCATACCTGAGGCATCAGTTCCTCCATGGATGTTAGCATGAACACTCTGCCAAGGATGCCCGGGGTAAACTCCTGGGATTCGAACATCGGGCGTTAAGGCGAAGGAGGTGAGAAATGCAAAGAAGACCAGAGAAGCCTTTCCCATGAGAGAGTCAAGGAAGCAGAAGAGACTAGAGAGAGGCTCAGGGGTAATCTGGCTTGCGGGGCATGGACTATGGAGAGAGGAACGGGAGGGTTCTATTTATAGCTGGGGATGGGGCCGGGATGTAGAGTGCAACCATTCTCAGAATTCTAAGAGATAAGAGGGTGGGGCCGAGATGTTGAGTGTCACCATCTTCAGAATTCTTACCTCGGGGTGTGGAGCATCACCATCTTGAGTGTCACCATCTTCAGAATTCTTACCTCGAGGTGTCGAGCGTCACTATCACCACCATCTTCAGAATTCATCCCTCAGGGTGTCGAGCGTCACTATCATCACCATCTTCAGAATTCTTCCCTCGGGGTGTCGAGCGTCACTATCATCACCATCTTCAGAATTCATCCCTCAGGGTGTCGAGCATCACTATCATCACCATCTTCAGAATTCTTCCCTCGGGGTGTCGAGCATCACTATCATCACCATCTTCAGAATTCTTCCCTCGGGGTGTCGAGCATCACTATCATCACCATCTTCAGAATTCTTCCCTCGGGGTGTCGAGCATCACTATCATCACCATCTTCAGAATTCATCCCTCAGGGTGTCGAGCATCACTATCATCACCATCTTCAGAATTCTTCCCTCGGGTGTCGAGCATCACTATCATCACCATCTTCAAAATTTTCCTCGGGGTGTCGAGCATCACTATCATCACCATCTTCAGAATTCATCCCTCGGGTGTCGAGCATCACTATCATCACCATCTTCAGAATTCTTCTTCCCTCGGGTGTCGAGCATCACTATCATCACCATCTTCAGAATTCTTCCCTCGGGGTGTCGAGCGTCACCATCATCGAGGGAGAATTCTGAAGATGGTGATCATGTGGGTGTCGAGCGTCACCATCATCATGTTCGAGGGAAGAATTCTGAAGATGGTGACACTCAAGATGGTGACGCTCTACACCCCGAGG